GGTTTTTATGCATGTGCTTAACCCACTTGTCTGATGCTTATTTCAAATTGCTCACCCAAAGCCCACAAAAAAACAATTACAATATGTATAAATATTTGTACAAATATTTTATGTTTGGGAGGTGCTTGACATCATGTCGAAATTCCTTAAAATTTTACAAGATACATAGTACATACTACATACATAGTAAATACTAACTCCTCTCCTACAGATAGTAAACAAATTAGTGTCCATCAATACCAAACAATTAGCAAGCACATAAATATCAACTAATTTTATGCAATCTTTGCTCTGTGTATCCACATTTCGATAATTGTAACCTGTTGCGATCGCAATCGATAGTTTCCATTTCGATCTTTCGTTAATTGCGATTAATGAATTTTGCATCGTGTAGACGATTTTTCAGTTAATATTCTAATTTGTGTTTCCAACCTCGGCATTTGTAATTAGTTTTGAGAGGAAATTACCAACGACTACGCACACTGTGGGCGTTGAAAGGAAAATGAAACCAAATAAAACTCATCCATATCGGTATGCCGCCGTTCTAGAAAGCTAGAAAGAGAACGGTCCACCGTAAAATGTTGGATGCTCAGTTTAATAGCGGATTCTCTTGGCCATCAAAAGCCCATAAACCAAGTCTGGGACCGGGCTCGAACCGCAAATCGCAGCTATTACCGCTAGAGATACAAAAAAATAAATAAAAATAAATATGCAGCATTTCGTGTAAATCGCCCACCAAACCAAAACACTTCCTTTATAAAGCCCAGGGAGACCGGCCGAGTGAGAGGCCAGCTAATGCGTGCATAATTTTTAATAAATATTTTTCAAGATCTTCCAGCTGCTGCTGCAGTCTGCTGCTGGGACTGACCGTGGAGGCCGTCCCAAAACGCTTCCTGGTTTAATTAATAAGCTCCAGTCCAGGCAGCAGCTCCAACTGGTGGCCGGTGGCCAGGCCAAACTTGTCAATCAGCAGCATTTCTGAAATGGTGACCAGCCTGAGCATGATGATGATTGGGATTATCAATTTCATTATCAAGTCCAGTTTCAGATCAGAGAAGAGCCCAAGTGAGGTGGAAGTTGGGAAGAAATGAACGATAGTCTTTACCATAAAATTGGATATCAAAAATATGGATGGTAGACCACGATATTTTGATATGATAATCGGAGTGATACTTAATATACAGATAAATAATATGTCGAGTACTGAAATTTACAAAATTCTTTGCTTTCTGTGTAGGAGAAAGTAAAAGGTATATATATTATTTATTTTCTAAATAATGCTATTTAATTTTTAAATATTCTATGTATCTATAAAAACTAAGGATGTATATCAAGGGGATAAGTTTGATATTTATATATGAATAAAAATAACGGTCTTAATTTTATATCAAAAGTATCCTAGGCTTTGATATACCAAATTTTAAAGTAATCAAATCTATATTATCAACAAACTGTTATATAGCTTGTGTGAATTTTCTGAAAAAATGACTATCAATCAGAATATCGATTTATCGCAAATACATATATATGGCAAGGTTTAAGTATCAAGCTATTTTGGCTTTTACCTGAAGTATATATATATATAAAAAATATATATAGATAAAACCACTAAATTTTCTTACTATCTGTCAATTATTATAAAAATATAACTTATCCCATATTTAATACAAGACTTTACCCATTTTTACAAAATGGACAAAACTATCAAATTTCGACTAATAATCGATAGATTTAATAGTGCTTTCGATTGTTCGGCCAACACTGATTCACTTCCGCTTGTTGGCTCCATTCGGGAGCAGGTACTAGTACGTTGAACTCCCCTGCTCTCCACAGCATCGCTCAAGGCTTCCACCCAATGCCTCCTCACGCAAAAGTCGTCATTATGAAAATATTCCCCATTTCCCCCGATCATTTCCCCCCCTCCCGTGGAAGCCCGGCAAAAAAGCTTATCGGCTGCTGCTCAGCCAGCGCTTATGTTGCCCACGTGTCCATTCGTCCGACCGTCCAACTTTCTGTCTGTCGTCGCTCGAGCAGGTTTTCCTTTCTGGAAATTATGCACTTTGTATGCAGAAAAGTTGGCGTGGCGATAAAAATCTGCATAATTTCAAGACGTAAGTTTATTGCCGTTTCCTAGCGCTCGACGGGAGCGGAAAAGATGCTCGTCGGGCGAAAGGAGGATGCGAGTTTGTCTTTGCATTCTCCCTCCCTGGGTTGCCCTGAGTTGGCCCTTTTTATAATCGTAATCAATATTAAGTTATATGATAAATTATCGGATACCAAATTGCAGCATTTAACTTGTCAAGGGAAATTACGGTAAATTATGCTGAAACAAAAGTTTCGGCGACAGCAGTGAAGGGATTACTTTTGGAGCTCCAGTTAACTGTTGATATTTAATAAGAGTATTTGTTATGAGCCAGTATATTTTGTCCGTTTAAGATACAATATAGTATGATCACAAAGTTTATCAGAAAATATTAATTACTTGTAAATATATATATCATAAAATTATGTTAAATTGGCGTATTTCCTACAGAAAATAAGGTAAATGGAAATTTAAATGCAAAAGCAGGTCAAATTCTATTTAATTTTCAATTTTAATTTAATTTTGAAGCTACATTTGGTAGATCTAGCTCCTAGAAGAATTTTACAGAGTCTGAGATACCTCCATTTGCCTCTCACATATTCCTAAGCGCACTTTGTAATAAATTATAATAATACAACATTTTTCTCTTTCTCAACTACTAATAACCACAAAAAAAGAGTAATAATAAATATAATCTCTAGCGTATAATTGCCTAAATGTACTTTCTTTCCGTTACCGCTAACAGCACCACAATCTGGCCCGCCCTTAATTCACGGAACTATACTTGTATGAAGTGTATGTTTCGGCCTCTCCTTCCGACTTTCTTGGATCTGCGAAAACTGGAAAAGCAGTCAGCACAAACATCCGGTTAGTGGCTGCGACTACTGCTTCTGCACAAATGTTAATTAAATACCTGTCCATCTATTAAAAAACATACGTAAATTTATGTTGTTAACAAGGAAGTGCGCTCTGCGCATGCGCACACTTTTATTATTATCATCAGCATCGCCGTCGTTGCCAAAGCTGACCGGGCCTCAAGCACACATCAGTGGCCGTGTGCCTTGGCCACCATTTGGCCATTTGGCCATTTCTACCTGTCCGCCCGTACCGCCGCCTCCTGCCCCCTGCCACCTGCCGCCACCTGGCCCCAAAGTGCTCATGGACACCATCACTGTCCAGATGCTGCTCTCTATTGCGGCAAGGCCTGTAACTGTTTGCAGCCATTTGCATATGTCGCCGAACGTTTGCGTTGTGGCTTTAACGAAGCGCTGCTGTCGCCACGTCGCTACGTTATTCGCTAATTGGTCAAGATAAAAATCGCTGGCAGGGAAGTGAAGTGACGACGTCGACCAGCCGGTATCCTCCATCCAGCATCCAGCATCCTCTATCATCCATTTCCCCCAGGTTATAAGAATGAGCAAGATGATGTGGGAGAGGCGTGGCTCTGGTGCTGGTCATCAGCTGATACAACTACGAATGCACTATCACAAAAGTTTGCTAAAAAGGGATTAATCATTTCTAAGCATATATTTTGTATCTAAGGATTTCATGTCCCTGCTAACTTGACATGTTATACTCAAAATTAAAATATATAACATTAAATAAACTAAACTAAATGACTATTTAGCGAATAGCTTTAGGACTATATGGGTATACATTTGTATCATGGTCTAATATAAAAAATACTTTACATTATGGTTATAGAAATATAATGAGGATAGAATAATATCTGATTGCTGATGATTTTTACAGATAATTAATAATTTTAAATATTTGCATGATACAAATAACTTCAGAGTATTTTAAAAACGGTTTTCTTAAATTTATGCACTGGCAGTGTATTATAATTTTAGTTAGAAGCTTGAAACACAATGATGGAGTCATATATCTATATCATATATATTCTTGACCAGCATCAACAGCAACAATCCATCTAAATATGTCCGGTTAAAATTTATTTTGTACACAATTTTCAAAATTTAATAAGGGGTTACATCGTTAAAATTTCCAAAAATTGAACAATTTTACTTTTTAACAATTTTAAATTGAGTATGCAGATTTCTTAACCCAATAAAAACTAACATAGGAATGCTATTTGAATTAAAACTAATGATTTTTTGTCTTAGCTATGGGTTCTTAAAAATTTAAATTGTCCAAAAAGTTGTCATATAAAAATATCAATTCGAAGAAAGCGAATATTTTAATGATCGATTACCGATCGGTCCTGTATACAAAAGAATCTGCAGCTTAGTTAGTTAGTTCCCTTTCTTGTTATATGTAATTTGTATATTATTTAATAAAATATTTAATTTTTAAAATTATCTTTAAGTGCACCGCGAAACAAACTGTCATCATTCTCTTAACCCGTTCCCTGTCCCCTTACCCGTTTTCTCGGCTCCCCAACCAGTGGCACTTTCTTTGCGAACCGAAAAAAAAGCCAAAAAATCGGTGGCTGTGAGTCTCTGTTGCCTCTTTTTCGCCAGTTTGCTGTCAAATATTTGCTCAAGTGTTTCTGCTTTTCGCACCAACCCCGCCAACGCCTCTGAGTCGCCACCCATGTCAACCCTACCACACCCCCCTTTTGGGGTGGACAAGGCTGGCAATTTGCTTTATGGGATTTACTTGTAGTGGGGATAGGCGGTTTTGGCATTTTTGGGAAAGTGGACATCGGAAATTTGGTTAGCCTTAATGCATTCGAAGTGTGAGTCGCTTTTTCTACATCTTTTTTTAAGCTTCAAAACGAGCTGGTTTTCCGACCGAAGATCTCTCGAGAAAAGCATACGAGTATCTCTTAAAATAAACATCTTATTTCTTGAAGCCTCACCTTAAGATTTAGCATAATTATGTATCTTGTATTTAAATCTTAGAGATAAAATTCTAGAATTTGAATATGTTTTGAATAAAAATAAAAACTTACCTTTGTTCTGTACAATGGATTGCTGAAATCCCAATCTGGCGCCACAAATAAATATCCGCATTTAGAGACCTTTCGCGATGCCTACAAAAATGTTGGAAGAAAGAAAATAATAATATGTGTTAATAAAATTGATAATCATGGCTGTTGTATAAGACTCGTAAAAAAACATTTCAATGCTAATTGATTTATGAAATTTAAATGACATAATTTTGACATAAACTACAGCAAATTATGCAAATATTTTTCAGAGGTTTGATAACAAACAGGTAAGTATTATAAAACCGAAAATTTATAATTCTCAATTTGCAAAATACATCAATTTAAAATCTACGTCGGCGAAAAGAAAACAAATTTGGTTATCATATCTCGCTTATCACCACCATAAAATAAAATAAAAATAAAAAATAAATGTGTTTTTAATTAAAAAATGCCAACTTTTTCTTAGCCAGCCTTTTGTGTTTTTTGGTTTTTATCTTTGCCTGCTTATCGCAGCTTTTTCGTTATATATGTGGCGCACGTGTTAACTTTACCGCAACCAGGTGTACATAATGACATAGTATATATATATATACGTCTTAGCCATGACTAATGTTAATGACGTACGAGAATTCAACTGTATTAGGGGAATTTTGGCTTAACTTTTGCGGACTTAGCTATCGAAAATGAGTTAATAACTGTCGCATTTTTTGTATTTCTTTGTATTTATATATGGAAACTTTAAAGATTGAAGAACGTAATATTACGAATTTATTTTAAAGAGATTAAAAGCTGTTACTCAAAACTAAAATCAAGTAATAAGAAGAAGATAAAAAACTAGGTATTGACTTTTTTAACATTTCTCAAACTATACTTTCAATCATAAATAAGTGTCTAAATAGTATTAAGTAAATACAAATATATGAAGCATATAACTCACAGCTACGAAAACCACAAGTTAATATTAAATATATTAATCTTAGGTTAAATAAAATGTTATATCAAGAAAATATATTAATATTTAAAACAAGATACATACAAAAATAGACTACGAGGTATAAATTCAATAAGAACAGCTTTCGTAACAACAAATTCCACATACTACTGTTTATTTTGGTAATCTTATGTTTAATTAATATATAAGATCAATTTGCTTGTGATCAATTTAATCTATAAGATAATGTATCTTGTTTGGTATAATAATTAAAATAAAATATGTATAAATAATTAAATTAAAGATGATTTCCCCGCAATGCTTACAATTGCATCCCAACCAATTAAGCCACCTTGTGTCAGCGACCTTACCACCCTCTTGGAATTACCTCTAGGATGCCGTCCAATTTCTTGATCCCGAACGACCCCCGATCATGTCTTGTAAGCTGACACCCCAAAAAAAAAAATGTATACAAAACAATAAAATCACAAAAAGCTAAGGCTAGAAATGTGTAATTCGGTAGTTCCCGGCCACTCACTCGACTCGGTTTTGCCAGACTATCCAGCAACAGTTAACAAAGTTGGCCAAAAGAAACACTTCTCCCGCTTCCCTTCCACACTTTAGGAGGTCTGATCCGAGCCACTCTACTCTATATATATTACATTTTATTTTTTTCTTCTTTTTGGGGTCTCTGGCTGTCTGGTTTGCAATTACGCTGGCTAATTTTATTTATCTGGTTTGTGTATTTTCCCTAGCTTTTTTTTATTTTTGCTGCATTTTATGATATTCTCTGCGATTTCAGTGGCTGTTGCTGTTCGGCGGTGGGTCGTTTAAATGCGCCATTAACATTGATTTATGTGAAAAGTCGCACGTTTGTATTCAAATACTAGCACTGGGGCAGAGAGAATGAGTGAGAGACTTGCAAAGTTGCAACAGTAGCAGCCTTCGTTGCAGTTGCAGTTGCAGTTTTGCCGTCTGCAGTCTGCAGTGTGGCAGAGGCAGCTGTCAGGCTTTCATCAGGTTAAGTCAGTCGACACGTTTTCCACATAAATTTCAATGGGTCCGAGGAGTTAAGTGACAGAAATGGGCTCAGCCTTAGTGGGTAGCACCTTCTAATGACCCGTTGGCGATCTGGCGGCTCACACGATCACCGAATTGCGATCTACTTTTGTCACATTACAAAACACCATTTGGTGGCCAAAAGCCGATCTCCAGAGTCCCGTTTGGGGCTACTCGTAGTACCCCAAACCAACCACGTAGTCTTACGCCCCACTCTTGGGGACAGGCAACACATTCGTACATTCAAACATAAATTATCAATGCCAGAGTCTGGTTCTTGTTTTTCTTGGTTTTGTTTTTGCACAAATGAAAAAACAATTGTAAAAAATCGTGACTAAATGAGTCACAATTGTCTTCCAAATTGTGCGAATTGTTATATTCGTTTTGTTGTTCTATTGATTCAACACAAGAAACAATATGCTAATGTGGCAAGGGCTTGAACCGGGCTTAAACTACTCTGATTTCAGATTAAATTTTAAGATCACAACACATGCCTCTCTCAGCTTAATTGTTCCAGAAGCCCAACCCAACTTCTGCTCTTGGGTTTACTTTTTTTCAGAACGAATCCAAACGACATTCTGGAAATGTATGCATCGCGCATGACGCTGCTGACACACAAAACGGGGAGACTTTCAGCTTTTCGAGGTGCGCGTGCAGAATTTTGAGTGAGCGGTTGAAAGGGGGAGCAAGGGCGTGGTTACGCCCCCAGGCGGTGGCTAATGAAGCCAAGCGCGGCTTGGCAAATGTGGGCCGGACCCCAAACAAAAGCCCCACTGATTGATCGCACCAGATCCCCAAGCGAGTGAGTAACTTGAGCACAAGTACGAATGCTAATGACAAATCAAAACATTTTGTGGACAGGCAGAGACATTGTTTCAACAGTGATTTGAATGGAAAATGATTTAAACATACTATAATATCAAAGTAGCAATTCAAATGTCGTAATTTTTAAATGTGCATATTTGAAAATAACAATAAAATGTATGTAATACATGTATTTTGTAGTGAAACCAAATGGTAAACAGTGTAAGTGTCTATTTTTGGTCCTTTGAGCCGGATAACCAAATCCTCGTTTTGACCAAGTAGATAATATAAAGCAAAGTTGTAATGATGAACTCTAGGCAAGCTCGTAACTAATGATTACTTCTTATATTCTTCCAACTTGTATGATTAAAGTACAGTAACTACTCGATAATATAAAGTCATGCAAACGAAATTACACACAAGAGACACAAGTAAAGATGTTACTCTTAGGCTCAGTTCCAGCCTCATACTTACTGGTTCCGTTCGCTGTTGCGCAAGCGTGCAAGATACGAATAGAGAATGCATTCGGTTAGTTATAGAATTAAATAGTATTGGAGGGGAAAAGTCTGGGATGGAGTGACTGGAGGGAAGAGACAGTCCAAATGACTCAATTAACGGCGGTGAAGATGACTGCAATGATGCTGATGCATTTTGACATTTAGCCACATTCAAGATGACATTCAAGTGGCTCGATGAAGATGAAGGCGAGTCAGTTCGAAGCTGCAGCCAAACTCCGGCTGCAGAGCCAAATGAATTTAAATTGCATGAGAGAGACCGGGTTGTTTTCGATTTAATTTGATAACAAAACCAGAGGCGAGACGACGGGTCGTCGCATACTTATGACTGTGAAATGTCAAATCAAAAGTCACGTTTTTCACTCACCGCGCGCTGATTTATTGGCAGCGGCTGGGCCATTAACTGAATTGTACCGCTGGCCATAAATTGGCTCTGAGACCCCCCTCGCTCGCTCCCTGCCTTGTTGGAGCTGTGGAAAATTTCACTTTTGCTGCAAGCCGCTGCTGTGGCTGTGGCTAATAAGCCAAAAACCGATTGACAAATAAACAATTTGTGGCAGCCCCTCCACATATCACGTATGTGCGCACACACATCTGTATTTATCCGAATACTTATACTAAAATACTGTGTTTAGCTAGTAGACTCACGCACACGTGGATCATGTCCAAGTCAAAGTCAAGCCAAGTCGAGTCACAAACCCGCTTTGGCTTTAACTTCGACTTCGACTTCGACTTGGACTTGGAGTTGTAAGTTGGAGTGGAAAGTTGTTTGCAGCCTCGGCCTCTTGAATCTCGTTGAATCTCTTGGGCTTTTGACTCAATTTCAGCCTCAGTCCCAGTCCCAGTCCCAGCCCCAGCCCCACTGCTGTTTGCTTATTTATTTTTTGTTTATTTATACATGTGTATTTTCAATCTGGACGCTGCAGTTGTTGTTTCGCTTTGAGTTTCTAAGTTGCAGCTTAATAGGCAAGCGGCAATAACCGGCGGACAGCCAGCATCCTCAGCCTCAGTCGCAGAGATAACAACAACAACAGACTAAATCATCATTAGCCACCACCATCCATCCATCCAAATGGCAACAGGTTTTCCAGGGTTGCGATCAATAATTTCTGCTTTTGGTGATCTCTGATCAGTAATGTCAGTCAAAACCAACAAATGATATTTCTTTCAATTTTAACTATATAATTTAATAAGGGAATCTAGTTAAAAATTCATACCTAGAGCTCGTTTTTAGCCTGTCAAAGTGATTGATAACTATTTTCCCTCAAAAGATGATCACCGGATTAACTTATTGTAAATGAAATGTGTATCCTTCTGAAATTTGTTCAATAACATAGCGCTATTAACTGAACCGATTAACTGACGATTAGTGCCGAAAACAGCACATAGTTGGCCTACAAGGTGCAGCCTTATAATTACTTTGGTTATTGCAACCACTTGAATAACCTGTAAGTCTTATCGTATTCTTCAATTGACCAGGGAAAATTCCCTTTTCAAGCCGAAAAAGATGTGGTCCCTGTCAAAGTTACGTATCACTTTGACACAATATACACCCAAAATTTCTTAGCTGGGACTTTATTTGTCAGTTAAATTGTATATTGATCTTAAACAGAAACTTATAAGATTTAAAGCAATTTAGGTGTATATTTTATTCAAATATCTTTTCTAAATCGACTAAATCGAAAATAACTTTTTATTTTTATTCATTTAACATTTACATAACCTAGTTATATAGGGAATTGACACATTTCATTGAACACTAATAGTAATAAGTAAAATACCTCCAGCAACTGAGGCTTATCTCGGTAAAAATGTTGTGAGCGAATTGGAATAATCTTTCCTTATAATCAGTGACTAAAAACAAATTATTTTTCGTATCAATTTTGTCGATTGGTTTGTTTCCAAAAAACACAATTAATTTGTGAGAAAAGCTTTCTTTGCCGACCATGAATCGAATCTCTTTCGACTCTGAATAAAAACGAAAGTGACTGCCCAAAAAGGGCCGCTGCTGATTTTAGCCCACGATTAAGCCAATGACGGCTAATCTCTGGTCATTCATATGTATAAGTATACGCTGTCGTACCTTAACCACGGCCACGCATGGCAGCAACTCTGACATGAAATATGATTAATAAGTTTCGCACGCTTATTAAGTCTCCCACTCCTGATCTCAGGGGAAAAAGACAGAGACCAGAGATGGCAGATGAAAGTGGTTTGCGATCAGTTAAGACACTGGTTGATTGACTCGGCTCATAAGGGCTTTTGGATGGTATAATGCAATAGTATAAAACAGGAGGGGTTTTAAAGGTTGTCTTGAGGTTACCTTGGGAAATTTTGGTGTCTTCTTTCTTAATTAAAATAATTGCATTAATTCTTTTAAGGGGGTAAACTAAGATTTTAAACAACCAAACACAAAGTTGTTTTTAGAAGGATATCTCCATATATATTTAATTTGTATATAAATATCATTAGTTTAAGTCAAAACATTTAATAACTTTCAGATCTTACTATACATTCTACTCATCATCTTTGATGATATTTAGTAACTTGATTTATAGAAATCGAAAATACCTCTGAAAACGTATTCAAGGGTATCGAAAATCGAAAGCAAGAAAGAAATCGAAAGCGAAAATGCACAACGCAAGCGAACCTGAAACAAGAGAGACGAACATCAAGTGCAACACACTGATGAACCGTCGCGTCGTCGAGCGGCGGCCAAAAGGAGCAGTGGCGCAGTGCAAAAGGGTGCCGAAAAGGGGGGCTGCGCCGCCGCAAAGAGTGGCAAGTGTATGGCACGGCATGAAAAATACGGTGTGCGGCATGGCATTGGGTAGCAAGTGTGACTGACCAGCAGCTGAGAGGCAACTGCAGTTGGAAATGAAAGCGAATGCCGAATGGCTTGGGTCTGTCTGTTGTTGTTGGTGTTGGTGTGCTTGTAGGTGTTATTGTTGGTGTGGTTGTTGTATCGTTCAATGGTTCAGTGCACGGAGAGAAATAACCCAATACTTCTGGTGAAAATTTTAAACAAATAAATACGAATTTATAGAGACTAGTTAGGATTTTAAGGAAGACTTTAAAGAAAGTGGTGAATTTCTTTATTGACCTGTCTGATAAAATATGAAATAGGTACAAAAACAACTAAAAAACTATGCAATGTACAGTAAAATCTACTAATTTTTGAGTAATTTATCCGATTTAAGAGAATTCTTTATAATGATATTTAATAGAAAGATCATAAAATAGTATTTCTAATATTTAAAATAATAACATCAACTTCCTCTCGTTGTAGAGCCTCTAAAACCTTTCAATAAACTCAGAATTAGGTACAAAAACAATTATAGAAACTAGATAATGTAAAACAAATTACGACATTTGTTTATAATGATTTTTTTAAGTATAAGATATTAGTTTTTGTAAGCTTTAATATCATAGCAAACCGTATAGAATGCAATCTCTTTTTATTTTGGAACCTTTTAAGCCTCTATAAAGTGTGTTAGATCAATAAGCAACTTAAGTAATATAGAAAAGCCAAAAATATTCTTACAATTTCCCTAACACCATATAAAAAATTTGTACTAAATAATTTAAAACAATGCGGTATCAGTTCTACTAAAAATATTCCCTGTGTGGCGATCGCCTGCGGTGCTTGGTCGCGCTTCAAGCTCCATTTACGAAGCTCACAAAAAGTGTATAAAAAACAAAGCGGATCGAAGCGAGGTCCAAAACAGATAAGTCCCAGGGAAGGGAGGTGAAAAACCCGAAGGGGGCAGACAGCATGTCTGTCTTCTGGCCCGATCCGGAACCACTGCCAGAGATCGAATCCGATTCGGGGCGATGCAATGCATCCCCACATCCGACCAGTTCTGCCAGCAATGCCAAGAATTTCGCCTGTCCCTTGCCCTCCGCCCAGCTAGAGCGGGAAAGTTTCTTCTTTTTTGGCCTTACTTTGTTGCTCATTCCATGAGTGCCCCGGGAAGTTATTAACATAACATAATATTGACTTGGACGGGCCCCGTGACCATTGTGTAATATTTAAGAAAACATAAAGTATTGGAAATTTCGTTTTCTGGTTTTCGCTCTTTCTCTTTGCCACGATCACCGTCGAGCAGTTTCACTTTCGTTGGAAGCTGTGGGAAACTGCATGTGCCTCATGCTGGGCCAATGCACCGGATCGCATCTGTTTCGATGAGATCACCTGCATGGTTGACATCGTTTAGGCCAGGTAATTAGTCATCATTATGGAGTGGAGAAAGGGCAACGGGATGAGATAAATAAATATAAATAATATGGGTGCTTCCGTTGAGACCAAAATGGTTTCGAAAGGGAAATCGATCTTCAACTAAGGTTTGATATAAAGTCTAGCAATAATTATGTGCATTAAAATGTAGATATAAATAAATCAAATCTACAGAGCTATTTTGTTAATTTCCTCATTATTTTTATAACAAAACCAAAACACAAATCTAACCGCAAAATCAAATTATAAACCCAAAATTACAACCCCAAATGATAACAATTAAATCCACCTTGATGCGGGCTCAAAAAGAAACCTCAGCCCCAAAAAATGGCTAATTAAAATCCCAAATAAAACTCATAAAAAGCAAACAAAACAAGTAATAAAGTTATAAATAATAGAAATGGAATAAAAATCTAGTCATTCCTATAGCCATTCCTTTGCTGTTATATAGGGGAAATTACAATAGAAAAACTGTTTGAAATTGATTTTCTTAGAGGGGGGAAAAACAACGCACTGGCAGCCATAAAAAATTACAAAACAATTGTTTAAAGACAACATTTCACTTTCAATGAACGGGGGGCAGAGGTGAGGAAAGGGTGTGCTGGACACTGACTTTTATTGGTGGCTTCATCATCTTTCGCATCCAAGAGTGGATGCTGCGTGGATGAGATGTGGATGCTGGTCGTTGCCTCTTCATTTGAAAGCGCGAGGCATTTGAAATCGACGTTCGATGG